AATATAGGTGTTTTTTGTCCATTCCTTCCAGTAGTTGAGTGAAGCTGTCACGGCACTGCCTTAATGAGATCTCAGTAGACGGTAATGCTAAGGAACCTGACCATCTGCTCTTGGGGTAACGGCGGCCAATCTTCATGGCCAGGGAGAGTACAAACTGTTTTCTGAACCAACTATGACTCAAAAACATAACATTTCTGTGTGCTGTGTAGGTTTGCTATAAATATCCTTCATTTGCAATAGTAGTCTCTTCATACAGTTTGCTTGATTTTAGGATCATTGGCAATCCTAACCCATCCCAGAGTCCTCAACTTTTACAAATATAACTTTTGCCTCCTGGCTTTTTTTTTTTTTAAAGAAAAACTCCTAACTACAGTATAGCACTACATCATTACATAAGTCTGTGTCAAATTAATTAAACTTAATCAGTAACTTCCCTTAGAGAAAATGATCACCAGCCCTATTTATCCAGGAGAGAAAAGATTGCCCAAAAAGGGGAACAATTCTTGACAATTCTACAGTTTATGTAGAAACAAAATTTATATCCCTTTGGGGCAGCATTTGGCAAATAATTTCCAAAAAGGTATGCATTTAAAAATACTTTCTTTAATATTATACATCAGGCACAACACTTTTCATATATATATTTTTTCTTATAAGATGCAAATGCGTAAAATGTTTGTTGCTGTTCATAGGATCATCAAGGTGTCAGGCGCTCGGTTAGGTAGGAAACTAGCTCTTCCAGGTTTGTGACCTTCCTCCAGGGCCTGGGACACGGTCAAGGGCGGCGGGGCCTCGCGCTCAGATGCTGAGGTCGGTGCTACATTCTTTGTAGGGCCGCCGGCGCTGCTCCGGGGGCGGCCTGCCGCTCCTGCCCGCCGCGGCCTCGGGCTTGGGGCTCGGCTCCTCCCTGTCTCGGTGGCTGACTCTGTCCTCTCGGCTCCTTTTCTCCAGGGAGCGCTCTCGCCTGCGCTCGGGGGACCGCGCCCGCCTGCGGTCGGTGGACTTGGCCCTCCTCTCGGGGGAGCCGCCCCGCCGGC